CCCCCCCCCCCCCCCCGCGCGCTCATTTCGCCCTTTCTCGATTCGATGGGGAGATGCTGTCGGACATGCGTCCCGCACTTCCGTGGTCGTCAACGCCATCTTTTTTGCGCCCATGTCGTTTCTCGCGCTCCTCGTCCACCTCACGCAGCGGGCCGCCTTGCATGCTTGAACGCTCAACAGCCTCAGCGTCCACGTAACATCATCACGCACTTCCGCCAAGCCTCAGGACATCTACACAACGGTACGTCTCACTGGAAACTGAAAGCGAACCACGATCGTGACATTCACAGTGGCAATGGGCTTTGGGGTGCGCGTGGGTGTTTGTGTTTGTGTTCGTGTTTGTGTTTGAGATTGTGTTCGTGTTTATGTTGGTGTTTGCGCTTGAGTTTGTGTGTGTTTTTGTGTTCGTGTCAGGTAGCGCCGATGTGCGCACGTCCGACTGTGTTTGTGTCCGTGTGTGTGTATGGTTGCGTCTACTCTCAATTAGAATTTGTTGGATTGATCGATGTTGAGGCTTTCTTTTACATATGTATCGTACGCTCGGTCTCGAGAAATTGTGCGCGAAAGCCTGTTCATGTCGGAAGCATGATTCGCGCGATCCAATCGATCGATCCATGAATCGACAACTGAATGTGATTGCCTGCGTCGTCGTCAATCGATCAATCGAATAGAGCAAGGGATGGTGTTGTCTGCCAATCAACAACTGAATGCGACCACTTGCATGTGTTGTCGCGTGCAATCAAATACTGAATGTGATCGATCGCCAATCAAACGAGAAGTCAGTGTGTGTGCGTCAATCAGATCCGCAGATCGATCCTTCAATCCAACGCGACCGTCGAGGTTGTGTGCGGGTGTGTCCGCGCGCCCTTCTGTCCGAGTGTGCCCTTCTGTTCTCGCGTGCTCTTTTGTCCACGTTGGCAAACCAAACATGTGTTTCTCGAGGGAGTCGAGTTATTCTGTCCATTCGCGATCTCTCCAGACATGCATAGGTCGATTGACGCGCATGTCGTGCGGCGTGTGTGCGCACCCTTGGCCATGTTTGTCTGCACAATAGGGGAAGAGATCGGTAGAACGATCATGATCCACCGATCAATGAATCGTGCGTGCGGGTTCGGTGTTCGTGTGTGTGTGTGTTTTTGTTTTTGGACTCTTTAAGACTAGATGACATTTGAAAGCAGCAAACAAGCGTTCAATCGATCAAGGGGTCTGTCAAATAAACAAGCACTGGAATGATCAGAATCAATCAATCAATGAATCAAATGCTCTTGTCGGCGATCAAACCTTGCATTAGTCATCACATTGACGACTGATCCAACCCAATCATTCATCTACCCAACCATTCGTCACCTACTAGCAAATGTCTATCGTTTGTGTTGTTCTGTTTGTACAACATGACGCAGAGAACACCGGATCTTCACACAGCGATGACCAGCATTTCCTAGCGTTGTCGTAGATCGCGGGCATGTCCCCATATCTCTCTAGATCTACCGGGATCGTCGGTGTGTCAGAGAGAGAGACAGAGAGAAAAATACAGATGTTGGCGAACTTCTACTTCGCCCGGTCTGCTGATAAATAAGGTTTGATGCGGCCCGACGGCCAACATTGGTCATCGGGTCGCATCGAACCTTGGTTATCAACGAACCATCATCGGTTCGTTAATAACATTGGCCATCGGGTTACATTGAACCTTGGTTATCAACTAACCCGACGATCTGTATTTCTTATCTACATATCTAACTCTCCCGCACATTCGTTTCCTCATGCCAGCATGTGTCCGCCTGGTTCTCCCCATTTCCATCCATCTCTCTCGATCTCTCTCTATCTCTCTCTATCTCTTTCTCCATCTCTCGCTCCAACTCTCAGTCAAACTCCCAATCCCACATTCTCTTGAAGTCCGGATCCCGACGGACTTCACATTTTCACATATCCCCTGATGTGGCTGTGGTATTTCTGCTGCCGTGCGGATTTGACTAACAACTCAAGTTCGCCTGCATCCGAGCTTGACGTGTTGTCCATACGGGGCATCGGAACGAGGTCGTCCGAATTCGACCTCCTGATGTTGGCTATACCCACCGCCAAACTCCACATATAGTGAAATCGGACAGCAGAAGAAGTTCGGATTCCGGCGAACTTTGCATTTTCATTTGTCCTCTGATGCGCCCGTGGATTTGGACAGCAACACAAGCATGGATCTTGTTGTTGTCCAAATCCACAGGCACATCAGAGGACCGATGAATATGCGAAGTTCGCCGGAATCCGAACTTCTTCTGCTATCCGATTTCACGATATGTTAAGTTCGGACGTAGACATGGCCAACGTCAGAAAGTAGGATTCGGACGACCTTGTCTCGATGCTCAGTTTACACAATACGTGAAGTTCTGATGCCGACGAACTTGTGTTGTTGTTCAAATACGCGGGGCAGCAGAAAGACCACGGCCACACCAGAGGATATGTGAAAATGCGAAGTTCGTCGGGATCCGGACTTCAAGAGAGTGTGAGACTGCGAGTTTGACAGATAGTTGTCTCTCTCTCTCTCGCGCACCCTCGTGAAGTTCGGATCCCGGCGAACTCCAAGTTCCTACCTTTCATACGACATGTTTGTGGCCTGCCTGGTGCCCCGTGGATTTGAACAACAACCAAGTCCGCCCGCCCGGATCCGAACTTCACGTTCTGTCGAAACGGAATTCCCGAACATGTTTGCTCGAATCAGATCTTCGAACGTTAGCTGCATCCAAGACCAAACGTCACATATCGTGAAACTGGACAGCATGAAAAGTGCGGATGCCAGCGGATTTCGCCTTTTCATCGGACCTCTTTTGTGACTGTGGTCTACCTGGTGCCTCATGGATTTCACCAACCACGCAAGTACAGATCCTGACTCTCTCTCCCTATCTATCTCTCCCGCACACTCCTTAAGTTCGGATCCCGACAAACTTCCCATTTTTACATGTCTTTTGTTCTGACTGTGGTCTTTCTGGCGCCCCGTGGATTGCAACAAGAACACAAGTTCGCCCGGATCTGAACTTCGCGTTTTGCCCTGGCGGGATAACCGAAACGGTTCATCGAGTCCGACCTTCGAACGTTGGCTACATCCGCTAGCGAACTTAACATATTGTGAAACCAGACAGCGGAACAAGTTTGGATGTCGGCGGACTACGCATTTTCGTCTAGCCTCCAACGTCACTGTGGTTTTCCTGTTGCGCCGTTGATTTCACCAAACACGCAAGTACATAACCTATCTCTCTCTCTCTATCTCTCTCTCGCACCCTCCTTAAGTTCGGATCCCGGCGAACTTCGCGTTTCCACATGCCCTTTGATCTGACTGTGGTCTTCCTTGTGCCCCTTGATCGGACCCGCATTTCCATCTAACCTTCGACGTGCGTATGGATTCCTGCTGCATCTTGGATTTCAATAACCTCACAAGTGCGGATCCAGTCTTTCTCGCTGTCTCTCTCTCTTGCAGCCTCCTTAAGTTCGGATCCCGACGAACTTCGCGTTTTCGCCTGTCCATTGAACTGACAGTGGTCTTCCTGATCCCCCATGGATTGCAACAACAGCCTGAGTTCGCCCGAATCCGGACTTCTCATTTTACCCGAACAGGGTCACAGAACATGCTGGCCCGGCTCCTGCGTTCGAACTCGGCTGCATCCAGTGCCAAACTATACATATCGCCAAATCGGATACCAGAGGAATTTTGGATGCAAGCGGACTTCTCATTTTCAACTAGCCTCTGATATGAGTGTGGACTTCCTAGATCCTCGTTGAGTTTAACAACCACAAAATTACAGATCGTGTGTCTCTTTCGCCGTCTCTCTCTATCACACCCTCCTTAAGTTCGGATCCCGGCGAACTTCGCGTTTTCGGCTGTACGTTGGCCTGTCTGTGGTCTTCCTGGTGCCCCGTGGATGGCACAAGCAGCCCTAGTTCGCCCGCGTCCGAACTTCTCATTTTGCCTATATGCAGTGACCGAGTGTGCTTGGACGAGTACGGCCTTCGAACGCTGGTTGCAGCGGCTAACGAGCTTCGAGTTGTAGCCAAATCGGAAAGCAGAAGAAATTCAGGTGTCGGCGCACTGTGAATTTTCATGTGGCCTCTGATGCGGCTGTGGTCTTGCTGGTGCCCCGTGGATTTCACCAACCACAAAAGTACGGATCATGTCTCTCTCTCTCTCTGGCTCTCTCTCTCGCACCCTCTTTAAGTTCGGATCCCGATGAACTTCGCGTGCTCACTTGTACGAATTGGGGTGCCGGAGGGTCTTTGTGTGCGGTGTTCGCCAGGATCCGAACTTCTTGCTTTGGCAGCGATGCAATGGTGTGGGAGTGTGCAGTTCAAGGTTCGCCATCTGCGTTCGTGGCGCCTCGGCAGAGCCTGCGTTGTGGTTTGCCAGTGACCGGACTATTGCTGTTCTGTTTTGCCCAACGCTGACCACGTGGTGGGTTGCTTGCTTTGCGTTGTCGTTCGCAGACAGGATGTCTTCGTCAAGGGGCGAGGGGGAGCCAGCCGGGACCGCCGGGAAGGAATCAGGAAAAAATTCCACAAGGCGGTCGTCTACTGGCATGAAATCGTGGTCGAACTACGCGAAGTCGAAATGATTCGTCGACTGGTGTTGTGGAGACGCTTCCAACCCCGTTGCGCAGCCATGTGGTCCTGTCATCTTCGACGATGACAACAAACGACGTAGAGTGTTTGGGGCCGTCTTGCGGTGGACGACGATTCTATATGCAAAACGTTTACGGCGCCAAGGGTAACGTCGTTGTCAATTCGAAGGGGGCGCTGTTGGATCTGGAATTGTGCGAGGGGTTCGGAGCGGGTGCTGTGAACACCCCGTTCTACAAAGAACTCGTTCTCGCGGGCGGTTTTGTTTTGGCACGCGAATTTTTTGACATGTTGGAGGAAAAGAACATCGTTCTCGACGTCCCCTGCGACGTCGGCCCCTCCCAATAGCTCTCTTTGCCATTGCGGTCATGCAGCAGTTGCGAATCCAGCGGGGCAGCGCCGAAGAGGGGTGATCTGGGTTCTGGTCCCGCTACTCAGCTGCATCGTGGCGAGAGCTATGGTCAGTTCGACGACAGCGAGGATGAGGAGCCTCCGCAGATGACGACTTCGTCGTTGAGGGACACGCAGCGGTCTGTCCTGGCTGACGCTCGGGTTCGAGAGGAGCTTGCGGCAGCTGCAGGAAAGGTGGCAGTCTCTTCAAAGGTGGACTTGAAGACTAGCGAGGGCCAGGGTACGGAGGAGGGAACCGCGGGCGGCCTGGGCGCGCAAGGCACTCCGCAAAAGAGGAGGGGAGATCGTAATGACGAGTTGGTCGGCTCTTCGAAGAAATTGAAGAGCAAGGCCCCGAGGACTGCGGGGGAGAAACGGAAGAGGACCGAGGGAGAGCAGGGCCGGCAGGGTACCAAACGTCCGGCTTCAAAACAGAATCAGCCTGTGCTTGGACCATCCTCTTCACCGACGCCACAACCTCCCATCGACGTCAACGCCAAGTACTTCCTCGAGTACAAATACGGCGTTAGGACAAAGCGGGAGTTCGACATTAGCCCTGCGCAGGTCGTTGACCTTGGGGAGTGGGAGGATCTGTACAACCAGCGGTCCCTGGATCCCGTCCTCGTTGAAGGGATCAAAGAAGCGATGCGGTTGGTGTTCGAAAACAAAGAGCAGTCGTATGAGTTGCCAACCCTGAAGCTGGCAATGTTGGGGCTGCAGAAACCGACTCCTGGGGTCAAGGCACAACGTCTGAGGCCGGAGGAATGGAGGGATGAGCTAGCGGGACAATACTACTACTACGCAGTGTGTGCGCAACACAACGCGGCTGCAGTGAGGTCGTTGCTCGGCAACGAGGTGGCCAATAAATAAATTTCGAGCGGTGGCCGGCATGAATGGTGTACTTTTCGGACGACGACTTTGAAGGGTACTTCCTTGTTAGTTCCCAGGACAACAAGAACGACCTCAAGGCACCCTCAAGACAACTGAAGCTGTCAATGAAAGACATTTGGTGGCAATGGAAAGCACGACGGTTGCCCGAGAGCTGTTATGGGGAACCCCAGTGGAAAACAGGAACAGGTCCGGAAATGGCGTGAATTCTGTACGGTGTCGCTCCATAAGACGTCGTACAACAACTTGTGGATTTTGGCGGATCAGAAGGGGGATGCCGCGATCAAGAAGCAAAACGCTGCCGTGCGTTCCTATTTCCTACTGGCGATGGCAGGCGAGAACGTCTGGAAACTTGCCGTTGAATTTTTCGAGAGATGGGAGACAGGTAGATTGCTCGGCCATAACGGTGCAAAGTGGATCGTGAGGAAGAAGAAGGTCAAAAATGTGAAGCCCGGGGTTACCTACGTCGACAACGAAAAGCTGGGGAGAAAGGAGGTCGTGTACAACGTCCCTGTGGACCCGCCGATGAGGAAAGGCAAAAAGGAGAAAGAGGAGGCGACTGGTTCGTACAAGTGCCTGGGTCGAACACACATTGTTGGAAAGCGATGGAGTTGCTAACCGACAACGAAAAGTGTCGCGTCCTGAAGAAGGTGCTCGCTTGCGAGGTGGTCTGGGTCCAGGCCGGCTCCTCGGTGTTGGCGAAGCTGGGGAAGCTCAGCGTGCAGGAAATGGTGCATTTGGTGAAGTGCGACCTCGTGCTCGTACGTTTGTGGAATTACTACCAGTTCAAGCACAAGAAGAGGTTGGATGCGGATTAGATCCAGAGGTACCCCTTCCTGAAAACAAGGTCCGCAATTTTCAAGGAGTTCGAAAGTCGTGGATTGGATGCTGAGTTGTGAGACGGCAGCAGGAAATACGTTACTGACTCCTCGATGTTCAAGGAATGTCCGCCTTACATGGGTTGCGACGACGACCACTCGATTGAGGCGACGGAGAAGTTGGCCGGTCACAAGAAGTTGTCCGTCGATTGGAGAAACAAGGTTCTATCCGTGTTGACTGGAAATAGACTGAAGAGTCGCGAGATCGCGCTTGCCGAAGGCATTGTGCACATAAAATGGAAAGACACGGGCGACATGACATCCATCGCACCGTTCGGCAACGACCCCTTGGAGGCGGACATCAAGAGTGCGAAGCTGAAGGAGGCGGTGACTACCACAAAGAGCCACACCTTCGTCCTCGATCTCTACGAACCGGTTGACCTGAAGTTGTGGAAACTGCAAGTGTTCGATACTCTGGATTCCTAACTTCAGATGTGGTGTCCGTCGCATTGGACGCTCGTCGTTTTCATGCTGCGACAGCAAAACCTCTCGTTTCTGACCAATCCAGGATGACGACGACGAAGATGAGAAAGACGAGAGACTTCGCCAAGAAGAGGACCGGAGGGCGGAGTAAAGGGATAAGAAGAGAGGAGTTTAGGAGGAGGCCGAACCAATCCTGCACGATAGCACACCAAAGAAGAAAAAGTATGCGATTTGACTAGGAGAAGGCTTTGATGTGAAAATAATGGTGGATATGTTGCTTGAAGGTCATAATGACCCCATGAACTTAAAGGATATCTGGGCGTCTGCTCGAAGGCTCCGTGATGGGTTAAACGGAAGGTTTTCGTGACGATTGGTGCCAAACGTCCGTTTAAGTATGATTCTGCCAAAGGAAGCAGAGTGGGCAGAAACAGTGACTAAGATGGATTGGAAGTGTGTGGCCTGCAGATTAGTGGATCTAATGGTGAAGGGATCAAAGTGTATTGCGATGGTGGATAAAAAGTGTGGAGATGAACATCATCAAAGAGAGGGATGCAATTGGGTTGGGTATGGAGATAGACTGCTCAGATTGCGGTATCCTGCATGGTGCCAATTGCAAGGCCATGTTTTGTGGGACAACTTCGAATGTGGTCATCAAAGTCCGTAAAGTAAAGGCGAGGACTTGCTTCTTTGTCATGCCCGACGTGGACCATCCCATTCTCTTGGGAAGATCGTTCATGTGCAGGACCGAGACCCTAATCTTCAATAAGCACGACGGAACAATGATTTTACTTCTGTGCGATCCGGCTTAAGGGAACTAAGAAGTTATCACTTGCCGGAACCCTGACTCATTCACTATTAAAGAATCGAAAAGTGAGTGAAGAAGGTTTTTGGAAGAGCCAGAGGAGGAGGGAAGGGCCTAGGTGCTGTCACTTAGTCTAATCGATGTAAATAAGGCCATGGAAATTATGGCGGCACACGACATGGAGGACCCCGAAGCAATTAAGGCTTTAAGGGAACAGGTCTTGGAGAGCCCTCAAGTTCGCAACCCGTCAGGGGTGCGTTTTATGCCCCTCGTCGTCGTTCGTTATACGGTCGTTGGAAGGCTAGAAAAACAAGGCATGGCAGTTTAGGGGGTGGTGACATCTTATTTGAAACTGCAGGAGTGGTAGCTGCCCGTGGGACCTCACGGGTTTTGGTCCTGGAGCGAGTAAGACCGGTAGATGCACATAGGAGGTCGAGAAGGCCCCAATCCTTTTTCGAAATTGAAACGGTGCGGGTCCACTTTTCTCGAATAGCAGAGTTCCTCGAATAGAAAACGCATACGTTGTATTCGAATACAACCTGTACCCTTTTTATTTGGATTTCGAAAAGAAAAAACTCTTGTATTCCGATAAAATTACTTCTTCTTTTTGTTGGAGGTCAGCGCCTGCGCTTGTGCT